GATTTTCCAGATCCAAAAAGCTCTACTTGATTAAGGAAGACTTACTTTTAAAATTAATTTCTCTGTACAAGTCGGTAAGAAAGTAACCTGGAGTCAGCATTAGCTTACTTCAGTATTTTACTTCTGGAATCAATCTTGCAGTCAAATGTACCAGCTGTTAAAGATAAATTTGTGGCAAGGGAGATAACTTGGATTTATATATTGAAAAGAAGGTTGGTACTGCCTTTTCCCTTGACCTCAGACTTGGTTTTATAGAGTCAGCAGAACTCACAGCTTGGAAAGAAAAAATCCACAACGAATTGTTTAACAGCAGGAAAACAATCATCACCACTAATCATATATCCATTTGCACCAGGATCCTGGTTTTGGTTGGGTGTAGGAAATTCTGATAGAGAGAAACACTTGGAAGGCCATCTACAACATGGAAGTCATTTAGTTCACAGAAAATTTTGACGGTACATTTTTGCCTTGTTGCCCATTTCTGATACAGCTCTCCATATTTGTGAAGCCTACAGCAACAAGCTTCATTTGAAGAGAGCAGGGGCTCAATCTACCCCTAATCTGTGTGTGGAAATGGACAGCACTCCAACACAGTCATCCATCCATGGAGCCTAAGAACAATTACCAATGACACTGCTTCATGCTTTCTCATTCAGTGCTTACAGAGCTGGACACAACAATAGCTATTTTAGATGACACTAAAAGAGATATTCACAGTCAGATCTGAGTCAGTACTGATTAACATTAAAGACAAACCAGACCCATTTCTTTCACATAATACTAGATTAGGTCAACCAGCTTAATGAGGGAAATCTTTTATGAAGATTTAGAGCTCATCAAGGAAGAACCAGGGGTGACACAACACTTCTAACATTAAGTGAGCAATTTATCTTATGTGGTTAAGTGGTTTTGAGAGGTCAGGCGCATGTTTCTCTCCATTAACTGTCAGTACACTACAAGGTGAGAATGTCAGATTTACAGGTCTACTTTTGGGATGCCTAAAGAAAACTGGGAAGCATCCCACCTCACATAGTCACTAACTGACCCCTTATCCTAAGGAAAGAGAAAGATGTGAGAAGTTGACAACATTACTGACATTCTTACAAAACAGTTCCACCTTTGTTATTTATTGTGACACTGCTTATTGGAGCTACCTGATTTTCCCTCTGCTACATTTAAGCTTAGAAGAGAACCACAGTTGTGTTTGTCTTCTCATGGCTTCTGGACTTTCTCATTCAATATTTTCTAGTATCATTTACAAGAATCAATGTATTTTTTAATTCTACTGAAACTTTGTACAAACAAAAAGCTGAAGAATCGTCAAGAAGAAGGGAAGATGGAGTGTCAAGGTGCTATCCTTGCTCAAGAATATGGGACATGAATTGCCATAAGCTATGTTCTGCCAAGGTTACAGCTTTTCAGATCTTAAGGGTATGTGCATGCACTAGAACCAAGAATTAAGCTTAAAAATCTGAAAAATAGACAACTTTCTTTTGTTGTTATTATTCCACTCAACTATCCTTGATGAATGTCATATAAACCAAAATACAGCAAGAAGGAAGATGAAGGAATGTATTTCCATATAAAATGGTGAAAAAACCCAAGAAATTAAAAGCTATAGAGCTTAAAATATTCCTTGATAGTTGTTTATTTTCAAGAAATCACTATGCTGGACAGTAAAAGGATAATAAACATCTCAGAGGAATGAAATCAAAAACACCTTTAAAAATATAAAATGTGCCATTCCAAAACAATTTATATTTAATTTCTTTCATTTTTCTCTAGATGTAAATATTACTAAATTTATTACTAAAGAGAAGAGCAGCACTTGTTCCAGAAATAAAATCAATTAGCAGTATAACAACACTAATTTGTTATTACAAGTGTAAATTAATCATATCAGGACAGACAATATTATAATAGTGGAAAAAAATTGAGCCAAAACCTTTTGGTATTATCTGTATCAAGTTCAAGTGCACACTAGGAAGTACTTCAGAAGTTTCTAAGAAGGGTGGGGTATTTTGAAGAAATACAGTCTTCACAGTAAAATGAACTGTTTACATTAGAAGTAGCTTTTGAAAGAACCAGCATGAATTTAAGAAATTATGTTTTCATTTTTGCATTATTTTAGCACTAAAAAAAATAGCTAAGGATTAGAATTAAAGTATGCATTCCACAGTTCTCTTCCCTCTCTCAAAACATGCATGTTTATAGTTGTAGACAAGAAGAAAACACATCATTGCAACTAGGGACCAAAACTGAAGACTGAATTACTGTTAAAAACAGCCAGTCTTCTCAGAAATCAGATCTGAACTACCAATGACTCCTTCTATGTCTGGTCAATAAGGTTCCTCGCCCTCTCTCACGTCACAGTCAGAGACAAGTGTACGCGTTTAATCTCCCCATCACGTAATGTCATACGGGCAGGGAGAAATGCTGGCTGTGCATCAGACACAAGACTGAACCAGCACAGCACCCATGAGGCAGATGACATCCAACTATGGTACTGCTCCAAAATAAAGTGGGGCAACTTTCTGCACTGTACCTTGCAGCCAAGGGAGGGAAAGATAAGCTGCTTTTAGGCTGACAGTGGCCTTTTGAACAGTGACCTTTCCAGAAAATTCGAAGTGTCTGTGTTATTCTGATAGCCCTCAGAGCTTGTTTTAGGAACACTGCTGTGTCACATCAAAGCACCAGACACAGCAGGAGAAGCTGCACCACACTGCAGCATCAGGGTTCAATTCCCATTACCTGTCCCACCAAAAGCTTCTCCAACTGCTTTTGTATTCCACGAAGTTCTGATGCTTTGACATCAAGACAAGCCCTCAACACACTGCTAAGAATCTCTTAATGCCTTCTTAGTCCTATTCATCACAAAGGAACATAGAAAGTATTACGCCTATTCCTGGTCTCTTTTTCTGTCTGGGAGAAGGGGAATGAAAATAAAAAATACCAAGCTTTTCCTAAAAAGTTACCATATTGTCAGCCAGTCAATCAGAATACCTTCAGCATCACTATAATTGTTTGGGTTGTTTTTTTTTTTAAATAGGAAGATGATAAATTGATAACGTAACAAAGATTAACAAGAAGTATACCCTGCATGGCAAGTTTAGCCAGGTCCACATATCTTACTGCTACTCTTGAACTACAGACCATGAATCTACTGTTTGCAAACAGATCTTTCCTCCAATCAGACTGGCTTATGAGGCACACACTCAAGGTAATACTACTGACAGGACTCTGGAAACAGGAGTCTAGCTACATATCCCAATTGGAAGAATATTTCCTCTTGAGTTTTATCTATGTATGCACATGTGTCTAGACATGTATTTATAGCTCCACTACTTTTTCTCCACAGTGCATGAAGACCAAATGCAGCAGCAGTCTGCAGACCATCACTAACAAAACAAAGTTTTTATAATGTGAAACCTTGTCAAAGACTTCACAGGGCTCTCGTGTAGTTACCCCTGAGAAAGGTGCCGGATCTAGTATCCTCAAGTATCCCCATAAAAGTACTTCAGAAAATTAGTGGGGAATGCATTACTCATCCAACCTTTTGAGTGGTTTTTAGGCCAAGACAAAACTTGGCCAGACAACACAAGTTGGGTCTTTAATCAAGACCTCACCTTAATACGCTACAAACAAGACATCCAAGACATCAATACTGACTCAGAAGAAAAACACCCAACAAAAACTGGCTTAAGAAGCAGCATTTTTCAGGATCTAGACTTTCAGGGAAGTCTAGCCACATCTGACTGCATTCAGTGCATTGGAAAAGGTGACATACTGGCTCTCTGGAACTACACACTACTTCTCTGAGGTGTCAAAATCAAAAAAAATTGGAACAGATTATGACTTTACTCAACATTTGGTAGTTCTTGCAAGAATGAAGGGCAGTGCCAAAAGCAAATGGATACACCTCTCCCCATGATACCTCCTTCCCTACTACATCTCTGAACTGTTAAGTAGGGGCTAATAATCACTACTTTATGTCAGCAGCAGGAACAGAGTGGTAGGGCACACAACTGTGTTTTACTGCAGTGATGCTAGAACATCACTGAGCTGCGACACTGTGACTGAAGCCCAAACACCTCCAGTGACCATTTTTAGTTAAATGTAAAGACAAGTAGTATCAGGAATTCTTTGCATACCTTTGACATGACAATGCAAGTAAAATCACATTATTTGCAATTTTGCAATTAAATCTGTAATTATGCAGTTGAAAACCTATACTAATGCTATGTTCCCAGGTACCTCAAAAACAAAAAGTTACAAATATTCCACTATTTTCCTCTTATTTTACACTTTCACTATCAGCATACTGGATTTCAAAACGGGGACCAATCCATTGCCTCCATTTGTAAAGAAGGCTCTACCTAACCAGCACTGTATGTGTTAATTATTAACTCTCATCATAATAAAACACAAAATGTTGCATAAGTTCCAGAAATGCTCAATGGAACTGCTTTTCCATTATGTTTGAAAAGCACTACAGAGAAAAAAAAAAGTCTGTTCTAGCAGATTGTAAGAAAAGATACTGGAAAAATGATCTAACAGTACAAGTTAGGACAAAATAATTACTGAAGCTTGAAGGTGCCTTCCATCTCAAATTAAATACAGCAGAAGGATCAGTGGTAAAAGAAAGGAGAGGTGGGACAACTGGGAGAAATGGAAGAGAAAGCCCTCATTCATTAGAGAAAGAGGAAAGAGATTATTTAGCTGCAAAGTGTTAAATTGAACTTGCTGCAAAATTGATCAAATCTCCTCAGACTCGGAAATACCCTACGGCAATTATTGATCAAGAGCAGTGAATGTGCTTCAGACCATGTTTATGTGCTATACAAAAAAAAATATTTTTTTTTTTAATAAGAGCAGGGGAGAGGAGTTAAAGTGTGTTTAAAACACACTTAACTTTGAAACACACTCAACTGCTGAGTTAGTGGTTGCATGAGTTATTGCAACAATGTGTATGAGGATAGATGATCTTCAGGAAAACATACCTGGCTAGATTGAATGCATCATCAATCAAGCCTGCTCGATTACTGACAGAGATAACCTGTGAAGAGCAAGCACAAAAATTGAACCATTTAGATTTAAGGTGATGAAACAGTGAAGGTTCTTCTATGAAAGCACATTTTAGGGATGAGGAGATTACCTCATGGTTCCTTGTTAGCTGATTAATTAGCAGCCTCCAATTCCTAATATCATAATTAACTCTAAAGTAGCCAGTCTGGTTTATGTTCCCCAGCAACCAACTTGCCTCTTCCAAAGCAGGAATTCTGTGGTGTTCTGGAAAAAAAGAAGAAGAAGGGAAGGGGTATTGGTTTTAAAACATTCTAAAGATACATCTGTTACATTTTCTCCTTCTTTAAATACACATGAAGACAGTAAAATTAACTGAAAGACTAACAAAAATACTGTGTTTGATTAATAATTTTCTTTATCTGTAGATAAATGTATCTGTATTTGATGTAAAGAAATGCCAACTGACATTCCCATGGGGTCCTTTTACCCACAGAGGACTTCAATTGTGCTCTTTCTTTCCTGGCAAATATTTTTTTATGAGCAGTACCCACTTTAAGTCTAGTACTCTTATTCTGGCCATGCTTAAATAGTTTCCTGCAATTGTAACTCAAAAAATTCAGTGAATGTGCTACAGAGAGAGGAGTAAACCTGTGATTAAAAAAATTGATTCTTAAGTGTTTCTGCATGTATTTGATTAAGTTTTTACACTGGATTTTAAATTAAAGTACTTCCAGTTGTACAGCTTCTAGCTACTAAGCACTGAGAACCTCCTCTTTAGAGCTAGACCAATTAACCTTATACCACCTAACCTGTTCTCTATCTTTCCCCTTGTTTTAAGTAATCAGTTGAGGGCTGAAAGTCTAAATTTATTACTGTTTTTGTGCAGTTAGGCACTCCACAACTATTTGCAGGAATAGGGATTTCAAAATTTCAACAACAGAAATGCCCTGAACTCACAACATGTACTTCTTTTTCATCATGCCACAAAGTATCAGGCTTCAACACCTCTGGAAGAAGTGTTCAAACTAGTAAATTACTTTGACAAAACTAACCATGAATGAGAACTCACTAGAAATTCAGAAACACTTTTTTCAACCAATAAAACTAGTTTGTACACTGTTGAAGGAACAGTTTACTCATTCGTTTTTAAAAATAAAAAAGAAATACATAAATTTTGTTCTAAATGCAATTCCATTATGGAATTGTTTGGTGTGAAGTAACAAATGGGAAAAGAGTTGGCAGTATGATCTTTACAATTCACACATACTACCTAGTACACAGGCTTACTACAGAAATTGATTTGTTTTAGTCTTTCTTATAAAAAAAGTAATTTCTGAGGAAATAATAGTTAATTAGGGCTACAGAAAAAAGTTGTGCTTCTCCCTTGACTAACAACAAACCCACAAAAAACTACTATTTTAAGGTGCAGTACATACAAATATCAGCAAGACCTGAATCTTAAAAACACATCATTCCATGTTTAATTTCATGGACCTGCATTATGCACATAGATTCAGATAAAAAAACTACAGGATTAATAGAAAGTCCTCTTTTCTCCTAAGTAGTTCTGAAAACATTAAAATCTCTTAAAAATACACTTATTAAAAATATTAAGCCCAGAATAATTCAGTTGTTGCCTATTGAATTCAACTATTATTGCTCTTTTATCTATGGTAAAGCACCAAGCAGACACGTTCTTCAGGATCCAACATATCCTGCAGAAATAGGACTGAGAAAATCTGAATTGAGTCCTACAACTCTGGACTTTCCAGGTGTTCATACTGTCCAAGCACGTAAGCTGCTTTTGCCATACAATCTGATTTGGAACAAGGCTCCAACACTTGTGTGTCCTTTCTTCCACAAGGGGCCGTACAGATCAGTCCTAAGCAAACTCTCTTAGACTTGCTCCTCTAAATCCTTTTTTCATTGGTTCCAAGTCAGAACCAGCCCATTGCTCCATCCTATTTAGAGAAGACTTGAATCCTGTTCCTTTGTAGCCTTATACCACCTTAATGCAGTACAGCTTTCTGCCCATGCTCCTTGGCTGCAAACTAACCTTTAAATGCCACCAGTCCTGGAAGCAGCTATTTGTAACTGGTTAACCTTTGCACCTCTACAATGCTACCTAAAATCACACCAAATAGGCTATCAGCACACATTAAATCTGGGTAAATAAAAGCATTACATGGAAATTTTCAATATCATATTTAATTTAAAAATACATAAACCTTTTCTTCTTTGAGCATTTGTATTACATTTTCACCCCCAAAGTAAGGAAATTACTTATGCTTCAACAGTGTATTGAACGATACTTGCCAGTCAAATATGATAAATTCAGAATAAGCTATTTCACATGCAACAGTTGTGCAACACCCCTCCATACATATCACTATAAAGGAGGAGAGTATCTTTTCAAAGCACAATTGCATTATTACTGTTTCGGCCAGTTTAAATACAACTATAACCTCTTGCTATTGTTTTTCAATAAGACCACTCATGTATTGACATTCTCCTGAAATAAAGGACAGAAATCTTTTACACCTTCCCAACTCCCAACACATAAAGAGGTGGCTATTTTAAGGGACTGCCTGATACATGTGCTTTGTACAGTTCTATATAGTTTAGTAGAATTTGATATTCATGTCTGTCAGTTCTCATGCTCTCCTATGAAAGAAATTATTTCTTTTGGCAATTACAAACACTAAACATTTCTATACACCTGGGTAATGTTTCCACTTACCATGAACGCATTTATTAGTTTCCTATTAAAAGTATTATAGTAAGCAAAAAGGTAGTAACTCAGTGTTATACCCTATATTAAACCATTTGTAACTCTCTAAACAACAACAAATATTTCATTTGGAATGAAATCCATCTTTGAAGGTTTTAGTTCACCTCTCAAAAGCCGATCTAAAATATATATCCTGTTGTATTTGAGATTGAAGGAATTTTTTTTTTAATCTTCTTCCATCAGAAAGGAAGAAGATTATTTGTTTTTCCAGGGTCACATTTTGTCTGGATGCCTCAGAAAATAACACTGCTCTAAAATTTCTAGTTTTGCCAAATACATATAGGAAGCATTTAGGAGGAAATGGTTAAACTTTATGACATTTGTTTTGAAGTAAAAAATCGGTTAGGGTCTGTTTCCCAGTTTGTCTGCTCTCAAAGTGTAAGACAGTCCCTCCAGCTGGTGCATGTGGCTTGAAGTTCTGAGCTCTCCCAGCAACTTCAATTCCAGCAAAACCAGCATGTGAGGCAAGTCTGGGAGAAGGGCACCCTTCTGCAAGAGAGTACTGCCAAAAGCATGGACCAAACACAGTACCAGTACCATTTCAAGTCTTCAGACTCACAGCTGCTAAAATTTTAACTCTTCACTTTATACAACCCCTAAGAAATTCATACTGAGAAACTGGTTTATGCTAGTAGAATCACTACTGGGGGAATTGACCCCATTTTTCTGCAAAAATAACTGCACAAGTGTAGCACAATTTCTTGACGACAACAGCAAGCAAAATTTTTCTGGCAAAAAAGTGTTCCTTGAGGAATTTCACAATAATTTATACTGGCTTTAACTAAATTCTTAAAATCTTCTCACAAGAATTTTTCATACTGGGAGAAGAAGGCAAACCAGAGAAAAAAGTTTTATCTCACTTACCATGTTGCCATAGCTCCACGCTGAAAGTAAATATTTTGGCATAGAGATTAGCACAATAAATGGAGCACATCAGGAAATATGATCACATTCCATCTCACATAAATCCTTCTTCAGATTACCCTTCCATCCATTAATAGTCCCATATCATGGAACTGCTAACGTCTAAGGTGATACACAATGTAAGCAGCAGTCTTCTGCTAGGATCTTCACTCAGTTGTTAGAATAAGGGGAATGATTCTGACTCATTCTGTCAAAATGACACAGGATTCCAAGTCCTGTATCCCTGGTCCTCACTATGGCTGGCTGAAGCTCAAAGCAGGACCTGTACATTGATGTTTCTTCACAGTGCTTCCCTTCTTCCTACTTTTGAAAGATTAAAGAGTGGAGTCTGGAAGCAACACAGGTAAAGCTCAGCAGCTGAGTTTCAGAAGAGAAAAGAAAGGGTATTTTTCTAAAGGTGCAACTAATGCCCTGCTCCCCAGCGGGCAGCCAGCAAACCCCAGCTCAGAAGCATCTGTCTTCTACAAAACACTTCCTGGAGGAGAATCTGACTGTTGAGTGGCTTGAAGTAGAGATTATCTAATAGGAGGTGGCAAAGTAAATTGGGATTTGCTGTTGGAAGGGAATCACCCTGTTGAACTTTCTTTCCCCCATCTCATGGGAATCCTGAGGAGGCATTAGGAGCAATCTGAACACAGTCAGTTTAACTAGGGTAGGGAGGTCTATTAAAGGAGTATTTGGAACATAAAAAATCAGTTAATGAACAGGAGGTGGGGATGGAAAGGGCAGGGAGGCAGATTAAAACTGTGTCAGCCAGTTCAGCAGTACTTGCTGAGTTGCAGGGACATGTTTCCTATTTGGAGACTGAGCACCAGAACAGTGATTGCTAAGAACAGTAAGTATGCCTTTTTCCAAAGCTCTGCTCACCTATTGGAAATAGATGCTAACTAAATCTCCCGACTTGAGGTTAAGGTCAGTTCTGGATTTGCAGGAACATGCACAGGTAAGCCTGTGCTTCCACACCTAGTACACCTCCATCAGCAATCACCAACACATTCCCACAAGCCCTGCTTAGCAGTCATAGGGATGGATTGAGTTCAAAGCTGGTTCTTGGCTCTCCACCCACTACTGATTTTGGGCTGACCCCAAAACGCCGTGGATACATATTCACAGATCATTACAGCAAACACAAAAGAGGCAACTTATCTAGGAGAAACAGAAACAAGCCCTGGAATATGACAGAAGAAGTTTGTAACACCAATTTCCACACTACCAGCAAAATTTATCATTCAGCATGCCTGCGAGACTGAGGCACAAAGCCATCTTAGCATGATGTTTCTGACCTCAGCATGGATAGGAAGGTTTGGCACAAGATATTCTGATAGCACTCAGAATATTTCCTTTGTGACTGGCTTACAGTCACTTGAAGCTGAACAGTCTCATTCATGGAGATGGAGAGTGAACAGGGAAAAAAGGTGGTGGTGACCTATTTGTGCAGCACTCTGAGAGCAAATGAGAGTTCCATTTCACACACCAGACAAACTGAACCCAGTAAAAGGACCATCTCATGGCTGGTATATGAACTGATGAGTAGAAATGCGGTTACATAAATGCTATGGTTCACTGGAAAAGGAGAAGAGACTGCCAGAAGCACTTGCAAAATGAAAAGCTTTTAAAACTATGCTTACATACCTTCAGCAAACAGGTGGGAAGAGCTGTATTAAATTTGAAACATCTTGGATATTATGCACCTTGTCAAACAAGTTGCCAAGGCCTGGCACTATATCCCTACAGGATTTCCTGCAAAGCACAATATACTACAACTCAAGTAGACACTGCATAGCTGTAATTTCCAGTGTGTTCTTTCACTTCAGTGCTGTGAAGAATGGACAGATCTAGCACTATTGCCAGCAATTGTTATCTGAACTGATCCTGCTCAGCATATTGAACAATCAGTGATCTGCATGCTCACTACCTCTGGTATGTAGCCAGAGACAGACAAGATGAGGACAGAGCAGCAACTCAATCACCCCAAATTCCTGTCACTCTCAAAAAGCTGGAGAGAAGCCTCATATCCCTTGTTCATGAAAATACCAACTGGTATCCTACAACGTCTTGATGAAGTCACAGACACAGTAGCAGAGAGGATGCAAAAATCAACAATTCTCTCTTTTGTCTTTCTGGATGCACATGACGGAAAAGACTCTTACATCGGCAAATAACCATTCTTGGTGAGCTAGGGCAAGGCACAGGGTTTACTCCTTCCTGATGGATATTGTTATCTGAAATACCACCAAAAAAAAAAAAAAAAAAAAGGAACACTTTTTTGATGTATTCCTATATGTAGCTATTTCAAAACTGCTGTGGTTTCATTTCTCTCAGATAACCCACAGACAAGGTTAATTTTATTGGAATATCTAAGTGATAAGCCAGTGATCTCACAGTGGTAGTCATCAACTTGAACCCTTTTCCCTATTGGCAGCTGAAATTACATGTGTGATCAGTAATAATGACTGTGTTGGTTTTGCATGGCCAGGTTTGGTAGCAGTGGGGAGGACAGAGAAATGGCTTCTGTGACGAGCTGCCAGAAGCTTTTCCCGTGTCCAGCAGAGCCAACACCAGCTGGGTCCAAGATGGACATGCCGCTGGCCAAGGCTGGGCCAACTGAAATTGGTAGTAATGCCTTTGTGGTAACATATTTAAGTAGAAGGAAAAAAAGAAGTTATTGCTCAAATGTAGTTGTGGCCAGAGAAGAGCAGGGTGAGAACATGTGAAAGGAGCAACCCTACAGATACCAAGGTCAGTGGAGAAGGAGGGGCAGGAGGTGCTCCAAGCACCAGAGCTGAGATTCCTCTGCAGACTGTGGTGAAGACCACGGTGAGGCAGCTGTGCCCCTGCAGCCCATGGAGATCCACAGGGATGCAGAGATCCACCTGCAGCCCATGGAGGAGACCCACACCAGAGCAGGTGGATGCCTGAGAGGAGGCTGTGACTTTGAGTCTTTCCCCATGTTAGAGCTGGGGAGACTACTCTCCCTGAGCAGTGGGAGAAACAACGTGTGATGAACTGACCATAGTCCCCATTCCCTTCTCCCTGCACCGCTAGGGGAGAGGAGGCAGAGCTGGGAAACAGAGAAGGGTGGGGAGGGGGGAAAGGCACTTTAAGGTCTGTTTTTATTTCTCATTATCCTGCTCCCGTTTCAAGTCTGTTTTGCTGAAACAGTACTTGGTGAGTACTTGGTGAGGATCTCTAACTCAGACCTTATCTGAGACCCATGAACACTTTGCTATATTCTCTCAGTCCAGTTTCAGAGAGGAGTGATAGAGTGACTTTGGTGGGTGCATGGCGTCCACCCAGGGTCAACACATCACAATAACAAACAACAGAGGTCATTAGCTCCTATCCACTCTTCCAAGTCACACTGGAAGCTCCTTCAGCACAACAGTTTAATCAACAAGAAGGAATTGCCTACTCTTTCCTAAAATGTGCACGGAAACCATCCTCATGAACAGCATTTAATCCAAAGTTGATTTGAGGATCTGCATTTAATTACACTCACTTGAAGAACAATGTGACCACTTCCAATCTTCCAAATATCCTCGGGAGCAGTTTGTTTCACCTCCAGCTTGCAGACTTTTTCCAAGACTACCCACTGGGACAATACTGAAACTGTCCTCTGTACAACAGAAAGTCTTCCAGATTCTTCCAGTCCACAAGAATCAAAGCTGGAAATTGTCCTTGGAGTCTCAGAATTCCTCCCTCATCCCCATGAAACAAACATACCAGCTGCAGAAAAACTCCCAGGAATATCACAAAATCATGTATACCAGCCTCAATCCATAGTAGCATGTACAATCAACCATACATTGTGTATACATTCAGGCATGTTCTTACTGACATTTCTGTGTTGAGGAATTCTTCATCTGAGCTAGACCACAAAAAGTAGAAGCGAGAGGGCATTCTTGCTGTAGTCATAAGTTTACAGTCTCATTTTCAATGAGGCACAGCAAGTGAATGAGTGAGTGAAAGTAATGAGGAAGAACAAGGATAATGACAATAGATCACAGTGTCATTGATTTGCTACACAGGAGACTGATGACTCGGAAAGGTTCCTCTTTAATTTCTATACAGTAGCCAGCCCAAAATAATTGCTCACACTGGCCATCATTAATTTGTTGATTTCTTGAAGGCATTCCAATAGAAGCAGTAGATCTTAAAAGAGTGGGTAGCAGTTTTATAGACTTGTTCCTCCACAGCACTCTGCAAGTAAAAGTCAGTGAGGAAGCATCTATGTAGAAAATAGTAATATACTGAACTTTGAATGTGAGAGTGAAGGGAGGGAGGCATGCATGTGCAACCTAATGAGATGGGACGATCAACTCGCTCTGAAGTCAGTGGGAACCTTGCTAATAACTTCAGTGAGAGTTCAATCAAGCCCTAAAGGACAAAAGTAGAGCAGGTCATTAAGGCAGACTCTAAATGTGCAAACAGGTCTTGAAGTATTTTGGAAGTGTTAATGTTAAAAAGCGTGGCCAAAGCAGTAAGTTTCAAAAAAGTAAGGCAAAACCTGTATGCTTTGCTGAGAGGATGTTTTCCAGGTATGAAAATTGTTCTGGTTGCAGGCACATTTCTAGATCATTCTATCATGGGAGCAGCATAAAATATGTTACTTTCTCATAGGCTGCAAATAATTTGGGTAAAGAAAAACATACCTTGTCCCACTAGAAAGCTGGAGTACTCAGATTTCTACTGACCATACACCATTCGTTTCCAGTCCTGCTGGCTGTTAAGCTTAGTGACTAATTTATTTTAGTAACTTGCAAAAGAGAACAAACATCGCACACAAGTTTCACTCTCCTCTCTCCTATTAATTTTCTAATAATAATTAATTATTAGAGGAAAATCTCAATACCTTCCTAATTATACAAGAAAGGGTAAGTTCTCCTTCTAAAGCCCATATGTCCAGGGGATGCATGCATCCTTTTTTTTCCCTTCTATATAATAATTCTATTCAAGTCCCCACATGTCTTCCCTGGCTCTCTTCAATCTAGTCCAAAACTGTCAGACAAAGTAGCATGAGGTGCTAAGGAAATTATTTAAGTATTTCAAAAAATTTCTATGGTAGGCTTCCTTTCTTAGGTGATAAAAAACCACTGCTACCTAGCACTCTCCCCCAGACAATAACTATTACTGTTATGATCATGCAGGAACTGAGGAAAAAGAAAATAAGTAGTAAGCAGAACAATGCACTTTTGAGGTCCAGCATATGGTTATCTAACAGAGAGAACAAATATAATTGATAGATCAATAAAGATAAATTTAATGACAGCAACCATTTCTTAGGCCTGGTTCAGACTATGGATCAAGTTAAAAATGTTAGAATTCTAAATGTACTAAACCATACTCATCACATCTGCTTCATTATACAATATTACATTTAACTTTGACCAATCAATAAAGTGAATTGCATTCATTATTTGATATGTGTTGCCAAATATAAAATACTTAGTACTTTACATTGCTTTGTAAAAGCTTACATTACACTGTCTAAATTCTGCAATATTATAAATCTAGATTGTTGCTCATCCTTCATTCCTCCTCCCTCCCTTCCCAGCTCTGCTTTTTTTGCAATTCATTTTAAGCAGTTAAAACTGGGTGCAGAGCAACTAAACAATTATCTAGGATCAATTCCAAAGATACATTTGAGGAAAACACAAGTATGCTTTATGAGATTCCACTGGGAGGAAAGTTTATTTTTACCTGATTTGTTAGACACCCATATAATTGCCTCTGATGAGATGTGGCTCGTATTTCCTACTGCAATTGTTAATGGAATCTGCCACAAGTAGCTGCAAGACAAAGGAGGGGGAATCTAAGAACAAAAATACTGAACTGATTCTTCTCACAGCAATCAGGGATCATGTCAAAGAAATTAAAACACAGTCTCAGTAGCAGTGTAAAGATCTGTGGATTCTCACAAGTTACTCTGATTTTGAAATGCATTTGCATTAGCAATAAAACAAAGAAAAATAATTTATAAAAAGACTCCCAATCTAAATTATATTTTACATTTGTTCACACATTATCATCGTATGAGGACTTTTTAACAAAGCTTTTCCTAGTTTAAGAAAATGCTTCACAAAAGAGGAAATAATGATTTCTCATAAAAAGAACACTTTACATTTACTTAGAAAAAACCTCCACATAAGACATGCTTTGATTTATAGGGACTTCAAAGTTTAAAAATAACATATTCTTCTAGCAACTTCTTAAAAAGCTGCAATGGGCTTTCACTGTTGCTGGTTTATAAAAACAAAATGAATGGGACAGATCTCCACTTCTGGGCACCATTTATGACCAATGCATATGCAAACTGGACAAAACACATCACATGTGGGTTTGGTGATACACTGGTATAAACAGACCCCATCTTCCCTATATGGTACTACAAATTGTTTCTCATTTGAAGTAAATGTTATAAATAACATCTTCGTCTCAAGAAACAAATTGACTGTATGAAGTGAATATATTTAGGAACAGATGGAAAGGATTATTTCCTCCATGTCTTCATCATCACCTCTTCTTATTTCTCAAAAGCAGCATTTTTCACCAGTCAGTGGAAAAGTAGACATTTCCCTCACAGGCCTGCCATGTCATTTTGTAAAGCAGTAAAGGGGAACCACTTTACTGAATGGTACAGGTGGTCCCTTTGCCTTAAGTGCCTTACAGGTGGTCCTTAGGTAGGTGGTCAATGGGAGTATGTGTGCAGATAAGCAAGGCAGCATGGCAAGGGCCTGGCTCCAGCTCAGATATCACCATAAAGTACCACTTTGGTACCAATTAAGAATATAATTTCATACTAATTGCATTAAAATGATTGCAAAAGGTGAGTGTGGGCCAGTTCTCTCCTGCTAGTACACAGCATTGCAAAACCAGCCCATGGTACCGAAGACAAAATTAGGCTTTCCCCTTTTACCCAGAAGCCTGCTCCACTGAACTGCAAACACCACTCAAATGCTCCACAGCCACATCAACATGGGCTGGCTTCCAAGGGCTGCCTGGCTGGCATGATTTGGGGGCTGGGGGAGGGACAGAGCCCTGCCCTGCCAGCACACTGGGCTCACAGCTCCCCACCCATTTGCAAAGAGCCCCCAGCACAGCACACACAGGAATACACACTGCTTAGAACAAAATCATGTGCAGGGAAACACTTGTCCATACAGCAGTGATTCAGCAAAGATGGGGAGATACTTGGACAACCATGTTGTTGAAAGAGCTATGAGTGACACTAGAAATAAAGCATGGCATTTACTGCCATATGAGAGAAGAACAAGTTTCCATGTGATTTTAGGTTCTCTGAACGTTGGTGCCATGCTCCTGCACTGAAGATAAGCTCCACATAAGCACATGCTCTGGCAGACACTTTTTGGAAAATTAAGCTGTGTCATTTGAAGGTTCTACTGGCTTTATCAGTCTGCCCACTCCTTGTGCTGGACATCATCACACTCCACAACACAGCCAGCAGAAAAAGATACCCATTGCTGCATTAGCTTCTCCAGTTCCCAATCTGGGGATCTTCACACAAAGTTACCTCCATTTTTTTTGGCTTAACTAATTTTCTGGACTGTGAACTGGAGTAATGAGATGCAAGTGTGTACTGTATCCTGCTGCTTTAGTTACAGCAGCAGTAACTCCTGGGTTCAGCAGGTGAGGGCAGTCAGGAGATGCTGTGAAGTGATGCACTGAATTGTATTCGCTACTCCACTAAATACCTTATACCTCACAAGACACACACCAATGTCTTAGAGTCTGTCCATAAAATAGGAAATACATCACCTTTAGAAACCTACCCAGTTCTAAATACATGGCTCTTCGGGATGAAAAAGATCCTAGCAAACTATGATTGAGAAAAATAAGGTTAAATTTAGCATAGAGTTCCTACATTATTTGAAAGAACAGGAACACTGGTATGTGGAAAAAAAAATTAAGACTGCATTTTCATGGTATTTTTATGACACTTCAACTCCTGCTGAAAAAGCAAAATCGCAAAATAAAAGATACTAGGCGCTGCCTATATACCTGATTTAGGCACATATATACACACCCACAAATATTCATGTATGAACATATACATGGACACCTGTTATTTTGAGAAGGAACTTCACAGAAAGGTATTCTGTACATTGTAATATCTGTACAGAGAAGAATTTTATGCTACGTTATAATATTTTATATTGTCTCCAATTAAGATAAATTCTACTGAAGACAGATCCTTCTCTGAAAGGTGATCTAGCTGCAGAACAAGTGTCACAAAATCTACCCACCAGAAAGTATGTGGGATTTAGCTGGGAATATTAGTACTGGCAAATTTAACTTTTACCTCCCCAATATAAGAGACCTCCTGGCATTCTTGGTGCTTTCCAGGATCTCCAAATCTCACCCTGGTTTCCCAAAGTAACCACAGGCGTCCTTTTAGTAGACATCTAGAAAGACCACATTTTTCCTACTTTACTGCTGCTGTTTTCTCCTTCCATTCCTCTTCATTCTCAGAGAAACTTCTGCTGCTGTTGCAGAAGAAGCTGTAGCTAACTTCTGTGTATGTGAGGGAGACACATTTGGCTCACCTTCCAAAACGGCGTTTTCCATTCATTGTCTCTGAATGATCTGTATGGACTGTGTTCTCCAGGTGAGACCAGAATGAAATTTTCTTGCACTTTTCTATCAGGAGTCTTCTACTTTACAGAGCAAAGATGAAAAAGGGGGACCACTCTCCTGCTTTCCTACTGCTTTGTCTGAGAGTAGTGCAGATGTTTTATTTATTTGTATGTTGAGAGCACCACCAGCGTGCTCTGACTATGTATCTATAATTGGGGAAAAAAACATCCCATTCCACCTGGCCATCTGCTGCCTGCTGTGACAAACCAGTTCCAGTGACAGTAAGAATCTAGCCTTGAGGGCGCAGTGACCAGGGCAGCAAGACTTGAAACAACCCATTTAGTCCTCTTACTGTCAAGATCATGTCTGCAGGACTCAGATGCCTGTACAGATAGCACACTCAGCCCCTGGGTGAAATGGTGCTAATGAACTGTGTGTTCAGTCTGCCTGAGATGCTGCTCAGCTGCAGAGGTGTCCCACATAATGTCCCTCCACAATCAAACCTGATTACTTTGACAGGGAGCTAAAGGCAAACTTCTTATTGTGGAAAAACTAAGGGCTATTTCAGGAACTTTAAAAAAACCATCTCTGAAGCTGAGGAGAGACACCTAAAACTAGAACAGACATGTTAACATGAACTGTGCTGAACATAACATTGTTCAATCTTCAAGAAATATAAGGAATGTAGAATCTTGTTGAAAGGTATTATAAATAAACCTTTTATTGCTGATTTACAAGTGAGAAACTTCTCATGTGAAATAGTTAAACTTAGGTTGACAGGATAATGCACAATTAAAGGGAATGCATTGGTGGATTTTTTTGTAGCATCCTATTAATGCATAATACTGGAGCGTGTTCATTCAACTTAAAGATTAATCAGAAGGACTTCTTTCACAAAGCATCAGTGTCTTGCATAAGCCAAGTTACATGCAATACCAGAAGCTAGCTAATGCAATACTAGAAGCAAACTAATCATGCTCTGTGTGGAATATGTAGACTTATTTTTTTGTCTTGAGCATTACATAATGACTAGGTAGGCAGAATTAGTATACTTTATCTCACTTGGAAAATTATTGTATTTGTGATGATTACTTGGTTACGACTTGATTTTAAGCAAATAAGAACTGAGATCCCTTTGTGGGCAAATCCTGAGACCATAAAACATTAAACAAACATGATGCCTCACACTTTTGCCTCTGATGAATAGTAATATCACAGAAACATTGGGTTTTCAGTGGCTTCTTTGCAAAGAGCTATGCAAGGCCAGAAAAAAGCCAGTAGTTTATTCCCTTTGCTTTCAAAATAAAGATCTCAGGTAATTAAAAATGAAAAGGTAAGGTTCCTGGCATTTCAAATTTTACACACCTTTTCATCTACTTTTTCACATTAATGAAATGTGAAATGTTTTTGCTGAGATATAAATCCATTCATCTTCAAGATTCATCTTCCCAGTAACCATAATGTACCAAGCTCCCAAACAATGCAGGCAGTGAATACCACATTCTTCCAGTGGCATTTCTCCCTTCTCCCTTGGATTCAAAACTAAACAAAGAAGTTGAGCTATTCCTAGTCATTACTCATAGAACAATGAAGGTATCTGCTCAATATTCACAGGCTTATTATCCTGCATTATAAGGAGTATACAAGCAATGTGACTGCTTCACATGAAGTGACAGAACATCTGTAACTAAAGTACCACTGTAGAATTCAGCTTACCTACATTTGAATGTCAGCGAAAGTGAACAACACTCCTCTTTTATCCTGCTTTAACAGACCCCTGGGTTAAAGATTTCTAATCTATCCTGCTGTTCTTTACACAGAAACTGTACTTAATCCTTCTTATTGTCCACCTCTGTATTTTTTCCTACCTACTATTTCAGGTTAGAAAACCAAGCCTTGCTTCAGTGCTTTGAAGGCATATCTACCAGGGATTAAAAGTGGCATAATTCTTTCCTCTTCTACACTCTTTATACTTTTTTAAATGCTGCTTTTCTACTAATCCCTACTGTTCTATTTACTTGCTTGACTGTGTCTGGACAGTGAGCTGATGTTTACAGAACATTACCTACCACATGTCCAAGATCTCTTTTCTGAGAGAAAACAGTTTCTTTAGAACCAACCGAATATCTGAGTTCGAACTGCATTCCCCACATATATCACATGTATCACCTCATTATCAGCATTAAGCTCCACC